GAGCCTCCAAAGTCAATGACACAAGCTCGGAGCATATTCTCCAAAATCTGAATGGTCCGCTCGGACTGCCCGTCCGTCTGAAGATGAAATGTTGTGCTCAACTTAACCCGTATGCCCAACTCTCACTGAACTGCTCTCCAGAAATGGGAGGTAAACTGTGTACCTAGGTCGGAAATGATAGACACAGGCACACCATGAAGACGAACTATCTCCCGCATATAGATCTCAGCTAACCTCTCGGAAGAATAGGAGACTACCACAAGAATGAAATGTGTTGATTTGGTCAGCCTATCAACAATAACCCACACTGCATCAAACTTCCTCTGAGTCCATGGGAGTCCAACAATGAAGTCCATAGTGATGTTCTCCCACTTCCACTCAGGAATCTCAATCTTCTAAAATGAACCACCGGGCCTCTGATGCTCGTACTTAACCTGCTGACAATTCAAATACCGGGCCACATATGCAACGATATCCTTCTTCATTCTTCTCCACCAATAATGCTTCCACAAATCCTAATACATCTTCGCGGCGCCTGTATGAATAGAGTACTGAGAACTATGGGCCTGCTCTAAAATCATCTCTCGAATCATCCACATTAGTCATACAAACTCGACCCTGCAACCTCAAAACTCCATTATCCCCTAAGGTAACCTACTGGGACCTCTGTGTTGTACCGTGTCTCTGAGGACACACAAATAAGGATCATAATACTGCCGATCTCGGATACGCTCTAATAAAGAAGAATGAGCGACTGTACAAGCCAACACACGGCTGGGCTCAGAAGCATCCAACCTCACGAACTGATTGACCAAAGCCTGAACATCCAAAGCAAGCGGTCTCTCACCGACTAGAATATAGGCAAAACTGCCCATACTGGCTGACTTCCTACTCAAAGCATCGGTCACCACATTGGCTTTTCCTGGATGATATAAGATGGTGATATCATAGTCCTTTAATAGCTCCAAACACCTCCTCTACCTCAAATTTAGCTCCTTCTACTTGAACAAATACTACAGACTCTTATGATCCGTGAACACCTCACATGCCACGCCATACAGATAATGCCTCCTAATCTTCAACGTGTGAACAATGGATGCTAACTCCAAATCATGAACGGGATAGTTCTTCTCATGAATCTTTAAAGCATAGGCAATGACCTTTCCATCTTGCATCAACACTGCACCAAGTCCAATACGATATGCATCACAATAAACTGTATAAGGCCCTAAACATATGGGCAGAACCAACACCGGTGCTGTAGTCAAAGTTGTCTTAAGCTTCTGAAAGCTAGCCTCGCACTCGTCCGACCACCTGAACTGGGCACCCTTCTGGGTCAACCTAGTCATCGGGGCTACAATAGACGAAAAACCCTCCACAAACCAACGATGTAGCCTTTCAGACCCAAGAAACTCTGAATCTCTGTAGCTGATGCGGGTCTAGGCCAATTCTTGTCTGCCTCTATCTTCTTCGGATCAACCTGAATATCCTCTGCTGATACGGCAAGACCCAAGAATGCAATTGAACTCAATCAGAACTCACACTTTGAAAACTTGGCATACAACTGACTATCCCTCAAAGTCTAAAGAACCACCCTAAGATGCTGCTCATGCTCATCGTGGCTACAGGAATAGACCAAAATATCATCAATGAAGACTATCACGAAAGAATCCAAATAAGGCTGAACACTCGGTTCATCAAATCCATAAAAGCTGCTAGGGCATTTGTCAACCAGAATGACATCACCAAGAACTCATAATGCCCGTACCAAGTGCGGAAAGTTGTCTTAGGGACATCAGATGCCCTAATCCTCAACTGATGGTAGATAGATCTCAAGTCAATCTTCGTAAATACCTTGGCACCCTGAAGCTGATCAAAGGATGCCCTAATCCTCAATGGATACTTATTCTTGATTGTAACCTTGTTCAACTGCCGGTAATCAATACACATTCTCATCGATCCATCCTTCTTCTTAACAAAAAACACCGGCGCACCCAAGTCGAAACACTAGGTCTAATGAAGCCTTTTTCAAGCAAGTCTTGCAACTACTCTTTCAACTCTTTCAACTCAGGCGGGGCCATACGATATGGCGGGATGGAAATGGGTTGAGTGCCCAGTGCCAAATCAATACAAAAGTCAATATCCCTATCGGGTGGCATACCTAGTAGGTCTAAAGGAAATACCTGAGGAAACTCACGAACAACAGGCACGAATCAATAGAAGAAACCTCAGCACTAGAATCACGAACATAGGTCAAATTGGCCAAACACCCCTTCTCGAGCATACGCCGAGCCTTTACATAAGAGATAACACTACGGGTGGAATGACCAAGAGTCCCTCTCCACTCTAAATGAGGCAAAACCGGCAAAGCTAAGGTCACAGTCTTGGCATGACAGTCCAAGATAGCGTGGTAAGGTGATAACCAGTCCATCCCCAATATGACATCAAAATCAACCAAATCCAGGAGTAATAAATCCACACGAGTCTCAAGACCCCCAATCACAACTATACACGAGTGATGGACTCGATCTACCACAATAGAATCACCCACCGGTGTAGACACATATACATGGACACTCAAGGAATAACTAGGCATGACCAGATACGGTGCAAAATAAGATGCCACATATGAGTATGTAGCCCCTGGATCAAATAAAACTAAAGCATCTCTGCCATAAACTAGAACAGTACCTGTGATAACAACATCGGAAGCCTCAGCCTCGGGCCTGGCTGGAAGAGCATAATTGAGGCTGGGCCCCACCACCCTAAACTATATCTCTAGGATGGCCTGCTGCTGGCTGGCCTCCACCTCTAGCGGTCTGAGCTCCACCTCCAACACCTCTACCTCCACCTCTAGCACCTCTACCCCCACCCCTAGCTGGCGGAGCGGGCGGAGGAACACCTAGTGCCTAAACCATAGCACGAGAACCCTGCTGCTGCGATTGAGTACCTACCAATCTCGTACAAGCCCTACGGATATGACCATACTCACCACACTTAAAGCATCCACCTTAGTGCTGCGGCTGAGGAAACTAAGACTGACCCTGGCGACCTGAATGACCACCCCGAAAACTCTGGAGCGGTGATGCACTGATAGGAGCTTGTGGTGCACTGTAGGGATGCTGATCCGAATACTGCATATGAGAACCACGGCCACCTGAAGTGCCATGAGAATCTTGAAGTGCTGACTGAAAGGGCCTAGGAGGATGGCCTCTACCATATGAATCCCTGCCTCCAGATGAGGTACCACTGAATCTGCCCGAATGACAAGGCCTCTTGTCAAACCCCTGACCACCTTCCTGCAACAGAACCATCTCCATTTTCCTGGCCATATTGGCCGCCTCAGGGAAAGAAATCACACTCCCTGTCTCATTAGCCATCTGAAGGTGAATTGACTGAATAAGTACCTCAATAAACCTCCTGACCCTCTTCCTCTCGGCGGGAAGTATGATAAGAGCATGACGGTCCAAGTCAATGAATCTGGTCTCATACTAAGTAACAGTCATAGAACCCTGCTGGAGATGCTCAAACTGCCTCTGATAGATCTCTCTCTGAGTGATGAGGGAGACTTCTCCAAAAATAGCTGAGTAAACTACTCCCAAGTCAAAGCTGGTGATCCGGCTGGTCTAGCCAAGAAATAATCTCTTCACCAAATCTTGGCGGATCCAGACAAGCGGAAGGTAGTAAAGTTGACCCCATTGGTCTCCACTATCCCCATTTTCCCGAGAACCTCATGACAACTGTCTAAGATAATCCTGGGGATCCTCAGAAGATGCACCGCTGAAAGTAGTAATGAAGGGCTTGGTGAACCTATCCAATCTCCAAAGCATCGGCAGACATAGCTGCTCCGTCACCGGTCTGAGCTACCCCACCTGGCTGAACTGCTCCAACAGGCTGAGTTGCTAGAGTTTGAAACTGGGGAGCCATTTGCTCTGGAGTGCGAGTAGCAGGAGTCTGGGCTCCTCCTCCTCCATCCTGAGAGACGGTTCGGGCTATGGGAAGCAAGCCTGCCTGGGTGACACTCTCCATGAGGCCCACTAGACGGACCCGAGCATCCTGGAGTACTGAGGTAGCAATAAACCCCTCTGGGACCTGAGCTGGGCCCACCCGAATGGCCTGGGCTGGAACCTTATCATCAAAGTCAACCTAAGGCTCTATCGCTGGTGCTGTTGCTCTGGGATGAGATCTGCCCCTACCTCGGTCCCTAGTACGGCCTCGGCCTCTACCCCTTGTGGGAGTTGTTGTTGGGGGCTCGGTCTGTTGATCGGTGGATAAGGAAGCACATGTTCTCGCCATCTACGAAAGAACAGTGTGGAATTAAATTAGCGTTGAGAAACCAAACCGCACGACAAGAAAGAATAAATGTGAAGTATTTCCTAGCTCTGTAGCCTTTGGGGGATAAATACAGACATCTCTGTACCGATCCCTCAGACTCTACTAAGCTTATCCGCGAATTGTGAGACCTATGTAATGATACCAACTTGTCACGACCCGGATTTTCCACCCTCGGGAGTCGTGATGGCGCCTACTCGTGAAAGCTAGGCAAGCCGCATAATATAGAATCACTAACTCTTTTATTTAGCCCTTTTAACAATTTAAATTAACATGCAATCAACAGTGAAATATTAACGATAAATAAAGGCATGCGGAAGACTTACTTTGATAATTAGCCAAACCAGTACGACAATACCAACATACATCTTTACGCGGAATCCGGTGTCACAATATCACAGACCAACTACGAATACTCCATACAAAGGTCTGGAAAAAAAGTACAATTTGTCTCTGAAGTAAATGAAAACAGAATACATATAAAGATAGAAGAGAACGTCGGGCCTGCGGACGCCTGTATAACTACCTCGGGTCTCAAACTGGACTGAGGGCAGCCGCCCAATGCTACGGTCCAAAAGTTGTTGCTCCGGGATCTGCATATAGTGTAGAGTGTAGTATCAGCACAACCGACCTCATGTGCTGGTAAGTGTCGGGCCTAACCCCGGCGAAGTAGTGACGAGGCTAGGACTAGACTACCAGATAAACCTGTGCAGTTATATAACATGCAGCAGAAAATAAAACAAGAATAAACAAGTAAAGATGAGAGGGGGTACATGCAACGGGGGAATATCAATATCAACAGTAAATTAAGAGAATGGCATAAGGGCAATTTAGAATTTACAACAACACAATAAGGAACTCGTAACCAATCCATAAACACTGGTATTATCAATTATTGCAGTGCGCAACCCGATCCCAAAACATAATAACAATATTGCAGCGTACAACCCGATCCATATCATTTATCACTATTGTGGCGTGCAACCTGATCCAATTATATAATATTGTTGCGGCGTGCAACCCGATCCAAATATAATATTGTTGCGGTGTGCAACCTAATCTAAATATAATATTATTGTGGCGCGCAACCCGATCCACATATACAGTTCAACACCAATCCCAACAAGAGTCCCGGCAAGGAATCAATAAAGAAACAACACTATCCCGGCAAGGGAATCGACATTATAAGTAAATACGTCCCGGCAAGGGAAAATCAGCTATAACCAAACTTGTTCCAACATCTAACTACCTCAACCAGCACCAATACTCAATCATACGTAATTTCCACGAGGATAATCATAATCCTTGCTCAACATAGAGAATCAACAACTTAGGCATTCGTAGTATTTATTCAGAACACAACAATTTCAATTTAAGACTCACGGTCATGCTTGACACCAATGTATAGATACTCGTCACCATGCCTATACGTCGTACTCAACACGTAACATGTAGCAAATAGGACACAACTCCTAATCCCTCAAGCTAAGGTTAAACCAAACACTTACCTCAAACTTCCACGACCAACTCAAGCCTCAAACACCGCTTTCCCTTTTGAATTTGGCTTCAAATCAATTGTATGCAGACATAATCGACTTAATAACATCAATACACGCTACACAATTCAATTCCAATGTTTAGTTATAGATTTCCCATCATTCTTCCCAAGAAGTCAAAAATTGACCCCAGGCCTGCTTGTTCAACATACGAGGTTCAGACCAATACCCGATCACCCATTCACCCACGAGCCCAAATATGTAATTAGTTTCGAAATATGACCCGAAAATGAGGTCTAAATTTCAATTATACAAAAGCCCTAACTCTACCCATATTCCTAATTTTCTACCCTTAAGAACATGATTTAGGCATATAAACCTAATGAGTGTTAAGGAAAGTTGAAGAAAATAAGTCTAAGATTACATACCTATGAATTTTTGGTGAAGTTCTCTTTCAAAAATCGCCCAATTTGGAGTTTGGAAGAAGGAGTTATGAAATTTTGGTGAAATCCCGAGTGCTCTGTTACTGTTTAAAAATCACTGGGCAGGCCTTCATCGCGTTCGCGATAGGCCTGTCACATTTGTGATGGGTCAGGCCTAGGTGACCTTCGCGTTTGTCAACTCGCATTCACGGAGCTTCAGCTCCTGGAGCCTTCCCGTTCGCGGTCAGATGGTCGCGTTCGCGTAGATAAAATGTGAACCCCTCCCCCCAGGCCATTAGCCTTACGCGTTCGCGATTGCCTGGACGCGTTCGCAAAGGGTACTCCCCCCACAGCCTCGCGTTCGCATCCCACAACGTTCGCGAAGAGAAAACTGGCACTTGAGGAAATTGCCATATGCGTTCGCGAGTGGGACTACGCGAACGCGAAGAACAGAACATCTGTGCACTGAGACAGCAAAATCCTGCAATTTTTCCTAAGTTCAAAACCTTCCGAAACTCACCCGAGCCCTCGGGGCTCCAAACTAAACATGCATACTAACTCAAAAACATCATATGAACTTATCTGTGCGATCAAATCGCTAAAATAACCTCTTAAACAATGAATTTAGCATAGAAATCTAATAAAAAATTCAAAACTTTCAAAGTATCAATTTTCACAACTACGGGTCCGAATTACCTCAAACGATTTCCGTTTCTTACCAAATTTCACAAACTCGTCTTAAATCACATATAAGACCTGTACCAGACTCCAGAACCAAAATACGGGCCCGATACCATCAAATTCTAAACGCATTTCATTTCCAAAACTCATGAATAATTCCAGAAAATAATTTTCTTTAAAAATTTATTTCTCGGGTTTGGGACCTCGGAATTCGATTCCGGGCATATGCCCAAGTCCCATATTTTTTTAAGGACCGTCTGGGACCGTCAAATTACGGTTCCGAGTCCGTTTACCCAAAATATTGATCGATGTCAACTTAAATCTATTTTAAAGTCAAAATTCATCATTTTTTTTTACAGATTTTCACATAATGGCTTTCTGGCTACGTGCCCGGACTGCGCATGCAAATTGAGGTGATGCCGAAAGAGGTTTTTGTGGCCTCGAAATGAATTTTTTTTTTAAAAATAAGTTATGACCTTTTGGGTCATCACAGCCTACCCAAGTGTGGTCGGCCTAACATACTCCTACCTGAAGAAGTAAATAAGACAAGAATAAAACAACGATATAACTTATCTTGAACCTAAATTTCTTTTAATTTTGCCCAGTAGCCAAACTATTGAAATCAATTCCAGTTAAGCTTCAAATTCGAACCTATAAACAATTAAGACTGAGTACCACTTAATTAATGATTCAATCACTAACGTCAAAATATGTTGGCTAGCCAAATTTCATCATAGGATCAAAATATCACAACTAGTCATGGAGAATATACAATCTGCCATTCAAACACATATGCGACAAAATCAGGAGGTAAATGATTAAAGATAGAAATGGACCTTGAATGAACAATTTAATTAGCCTCTGCCCAGATATGCAAAGCTTTAAAAAAATAGCGACAAACAACGAACAACGAATCGGAACCCTCTCAAATGCAGAACTCGAACGACAACCTCCACACGACTCAAACTCAAAAATGGCTCCAAACTTCAATTAAACTCCATGTTTCAGAAATCTATTCGTGTGTGTGACTGTGAGTATGCGTGTTTGGCGGCGGCGATGTCGCTGGGTTTTGGGTTATGGCTGGAACTAGAGAGGGACGAGTGTGATGACGGCTATGGTGGTTGTTTTTTTCGGAGCTCATGTGTTGATAATAGAGGTTGTTTTTAAGGTGTCAAGAAGACAAAGGGTGCTGAAGGGTTGTCGTGTGGCAGTTGAATTTGGTGGTGAGGAGGTGATGCTGGAGAAAGGTGGCGGTTTTGATGGGGGAGATGGCGTTAGGGTCTGCAGCTGGAATGTGGCCGTCGAATTTTTTTAGGTTGTGTCTTTAAAGAATAAAACGTTCAGGGGGGTCTTGTTTTGGTTTTCTGCGGCTTATTTCCAAGACTAGGTTAGGGGTCCCCTTTTAGGGTTATTTTAATTAGGGTATAAGAGGGGAATGGGTAAATAAGCCTGGATTTGGAAAATTGGGTTGGTTCATATCTTTTGGGTTTGAATTTATGCTAAGAAGACCAATAATACAATGTATCTATAAAGTGTAAAAAATTATTCTTAATTAATATAAACTAATATAAAACTAAATACTAAAAGTGAAACTAATCTTTGTATTTTCAAGTTTTATGTAAGGTAGATAAATTAAAAGTAACTGGATAAAATATTAATTAGCTAATTTAAAGACAATATTTTTGTACTTTTCATTTTTGTGATAAAATTGAGTAAAAGAGTCGAAACTATTTAGAATAGCGATATTAAACCTAAACTAAATATTTACGCCAAAATGTGTAAAATCTTGGGGAGGGTCAAAAATTATATGTCTACAGTTACCCCTCTTTGACTGGAGATGCGAAGAGTTTTCAGACAAAGAACGACGAGGCAGGTTTTTTGACCTGACCCTTGTTTAGAAAGACCAAAAACTAAAAGAAAGGAGAATATGACCGAGCCCTGGTATATGAGCTGCCTATATATCCTTGGCTATAAAGGAATCAGGCTACGTGTAGTTTAGAAGTAGGAACAGTGATGGAGTATACCGAGGTGGAGAGCCGATTGAGGTGTCGTTCCGTCGAGGTTCTGGTCCGCGGTCCTATTATTACATCAAAATCAAAAATGAAAAAGACTAACTAAGCCTGTCAACTACGAGTTACAAGATTCCTATCTATAAGTATTCTGAAGCTTGATCTTGAGTCTTGAATAGTGCTTCATGCAGACTTTATGTTTGAATCTTGACGCTTGCTAGCTGCAGGTGCTAGTTCGTTCTTCTTGAGCTTTTTCGGATCAGGATCGGACATGTAGTGCTCGTGACTTCAACCATGTCTTGAGCAGTTCACATCTTTCTCTGCTTCTGCATTTTGGATTCACTTCCCTTTTTTCTTTTTCTTTTTTCTTTTTTTTTTCTTTTTTTTTTCTTTTTATTCTGGATCAAGACTACTTCTGTTGGTCATCTCGGACTAACGACTCGCATTCTTACCGCGAGCTTTTGCTACTTCTAACTTGAATTGAATTCTAAAATGATTTCCCTCATTCTCCAAGTAGGTGCCTGCTACTGATAGAAAACTTGAAATGAATTCCCTCATTCTCTAGGTGGGCGTCTGCCACTGACATGAAACTTAAAATGACTCTAAATTGAATTCTGAAATGACTTCCCTCATTCTCCAGGCGGGGCGCCTTCTAATGACTTAAAACTAGAAATGAATTCCCTTGTTCTCCAAGTGGGTGCCTGCAACTGACTTAAAATGAATTCCCTTGTTCTCCAGGTAAACGCTTGATGCTGACTTAAAATTTGAAATAAATTTCCTTATTCTCCAGGTGGGCGCCTGCAACTTAAACTTGAAATGAATTCCCTTGTTCTCAATGTGGGCGCCTGATACTGACTTAAAATTTGAAATAAATTCCCTTGTTCTCCAGGTAGGCGCCTGCAACTTAAACTTGAAATGAATTCCCTTGATCTCCAAGTGGGTGCCTGATGCTGATTTAAAATTTGAAATAAATTCCCTTGTTCTCCAGGTGGGCGCCTGATGCTGACTTAAATTTTGAAATAAATTCCCTTGTTCTCCAAGTGGGTGCCTGCAACTTAAACTTGAAGTGAATTCCCTTGTTCTCCAAGTGAGCGTCTGATGCTAACTTAAAATTTGAAATAAATTCCCTTGTTCTGCAGGTGGGCGCCTGCAACTTAAACATGAAATGAATTCCCTTGTTCTCCAGGTGGGCGCCTGATGCTGACTTAAAATTTGAAATAAATTCCCTTGTTCTGCAGGTGGGCGCCTGCAACTTAAACATGAAATGAATTCCCTTGTTCTCCAGGTGGGCGCCTGATGCTGACTTAAAATTTGAAATAAATTCCCTTGTTCTGCAGGTGGGCGCCTGCAACTTAAACATGAAATGAATTCCCTTGTTCTCCAGGTGGGCGCCTGATGCTGACTTAAAATTTGAAATAAATTCCCTTGTTCTCCAGGTGGGCGCCTACTACTTAAACTTGAAATAATTTCCTTGTTCTCCAGGTGGGCGCCTGATGCTGACATAAAATTTGAAATAAATTCCCTTGTTCTACAGGTGGGTGCCTGCAACTTAAACTTGAAATGAATTTCCTTGTTCTCTAGGTGGGCGCTTGATGCTCACTTAAAATTTGAAATAAATTTCCTTGTTTTCCAGGTGGGCACCTGCAACTTAAACTTGAAATAAATTCTCTTCTTCTCCAGGTGGGCGCTTGATGCTGACTTAAAATTTGAAATAAATTCCCTTGTTCTACAGGTGGGCGCCTGCAACATAAACTTGAAATAAATTCCTTTGTTCTTCAGGTGGGCGCCTGCCATTACAACAAAATAAAAGAAACTTTTTTGCCCCAGTTTGGTACCGGAAACATCTGTGAGTGTTAATCGAATCATGTTATCCAAAAGAGCTCTAAGAATTTAAAAGCTAAAACTCATTATCCAGGAGGGCCCTGAAAGCTAAAATTAAATCTCATCTTAAGAGCGAAAACTTGAAAGCTAAACTCTATTTCCTAAAGATAAAACTTATGCTAAATCTCATTATCTATGAGGGTCCTAAAAACTTAAAACTAAACCCCATTATCCAGGAGGGTCCTGACAACTTAAAATTACACCCCATTATCCAAGAGGGTCCTGAAAACTTGAAATTAAATCTCATTATCCAGGAGGGTCCTGAAAACTTAGAACTTAAATCCTATTATCCAGGAGGGCCCTGAAAACTTGAACTTAAATTCCATTATCCAGGAGGGCCCTAAACTTAAGTAAAGCAAAAATCTCTTCTAAGTAGGGAGAACGCCTAGGAGGTACGGTTCTTCTCGATTAGGGAAAATGTGTAGGAGGTAAAAACCTTCTTAACTAGGGAAATGCCTAGCAAGTAAAACCTCCTGAAACAACCTTTTTGCTGACAAAATATGGGCACGACACTTGAAAAATTCAAGCTTCCAAGCTTTGATTTGGCCATATATATCACTACAACAAAAGAGACTTTTGGCGGCAATTATTTAGCAACAATAAGCTATTTGCCGCTAATTTATTCTATAAATACAAATGTTTGCGGTAATTTAACTTTCGCCAGGAAAGAGTGCTTCTTTACTGGCAATTCAAAGTAATGGCCCGAAAAAGTTAGTCCTGACAATTAAAAGCCAATTTTCATCTTCCCTCTAATTTGTTTCATGTGAAATATTCCCGCCTGGATACATTCACCCCTAAATTGCAAAACAATCATCTCTAAATTTGAGTAGACCTCTCCCTATAGCAGCCAGCTCATCTCGCACCATCGCCGGCCGCCACCACCAGGTAATGTCTCTCCACTATTTCTCTATGTTTTTTCATTGTGGATGTCTCTCTCTTTCTGAAGCACATAAATTGAAGCTTGTAAATAAGATTCTTGACTTTCTCCTATTATGATTTTATATTTGTATTTAGTGTAGAAGAGTCTCCATTTCCCCAGGCTTTATTTAGGTCTATATATCGATTAGATAAATGAGTTCTAAATATAGAGTCAATCGGTCATTAAGCACTAGAGTTTCATGAATAGTCAAAATTAACTGCTCTTTTGTTCTCTATGCACTTTCTATCCTATCTGCTTCTTCTTCATACTTTGGTAAGGCTTATTAATTTTTATTTTTTCCTTTTGTCCGGCATCCTCTACTATAAGGATATATATATTGACTTTTTAAACTTGAACTTTATCCATAATTTTGATGCAACAACTAAAAAAAAGTGAAATACAAGGTGTAATTTGGTTGATTTAGTCTTGTGAAAAAAGAAGATTTCATTTGATAATTGGATTTGCAACATGGTGATATCACTGGAAATATAAAAACAGGCCCTCTAGACACAAACTCAAGAGTGCTTTTTAATTTCTTGGTGTGAGTATAGCTTAATTACCAATAATTTTCCTAATAATGATGGGTAGAATCTTGTTGTCTTAGTCTTGTGGATCTTATCCACAATTTTTGAAGGTAAAAATCGAAAATATTTTCCTAAATGCTTAAAAAAGAGAGTATTACACGTACTTTTGTGAAGTTCTGTCTTCCATTATCCATATTATTAGTGTTTGGTGTGGATATTGTTATAGTGTATTGTGATAGTTTAGTATCCATATAATTTATATTTACAGTACTTTGTACAGTAGAAGCTCGCAGAGCATCACCATCGAACAAATTACATCAGTTTCTAGTAGTTCTGCTAGTGTAAAAAGAATGGGTTGATACACTAGTATAGAAGTCGATTAACATTATCCGGTATAAAGATTCAATTGGTCTATTTATGCAAAGAAAATTACTGCTCCCAAGCTATTTTATATGAATATTCAATTTGATGAATTTGAATGAGGCTTCTTCATTTGTAACTATCTAAGAGTTGTTCATTCACTTTATTCAAAAATGGATTAATAACATGTTCTTGATGTTGCTCTAAATCCCTGTTAATTTTCTTTTACAACGAATTGGTAAATAGGTTTTGTTGTAAGATGAACTCCCATTTCTTTTTACCTTTTAACTGATGTTTTTCATATATCCATGATTCCATTATTTCATGAAGGCACCACTTTATTGAGATCTGCATGTGCCAAAAGGATTGGACTTAGCCAGGATTTATTTTACATGAAATAATATTGAGTATCAAGGGACTGCATTAGCATCAGAGTAACATCTTGCAATTTTGTTGCTTATCACTTGAATAGACCAGATAGGATGCATGACAATTCAGCAAATGATAGAACAAATCATGTGAAGGTAGCAAGATTTCTGATTATAAGTTGTTGTAACTGATCCTAGTGGCTCCTTTCCTTCCATGTCAACTTTTTTGATATGCAGTGGATGTGGTTCATATTTCTTGTTGCAGGGTGCAATGTATTTTCTAACATTGTTATCACAGTTTCATCAACTTATGCTCAAGAGGGTCCGGACTACTCAGGTATGAATTTCATTTTCCTAGGCACCTTATCTCGCCTTATGTTCTCATACATCATGCATTCGTTCCTTTTTGTCTAATATTTGAGTAATAGGTCTCTCTAGTGAGACATGACAGGTTTTGTTTAAACTTACAAGTTAAATAGGATTTTTGAATAATATTTTGCGGGGCCTCATCTAACCTGTTGTTGTCGATCTTCAAAAAAGAAAGATATGTTGTTTCCAAAGAATTGAGAAATATATTTTTTCTTTTCCTTTTTTTACTATTCTTTCCTTGTCTTTGGTCTTAAAAAGGCTAAATATTCCTCTGTTGACCTCAAGGATTGATATAAAATCTAATGAATTATATAAACAAGTGATTGAAGATATCCTAATATTATAGAAGGTCCAATGATCATGTTTTTTCGGTCTTCATATGTGATTTAAGTTTCCCTTATATTTTCAAGATGGCAAAATTTTCCATTTTAAAAAAAATAAAATCAGAAGATCTTGAAACTTATTCGTGGTACACTTGATATTTGACTCGATCAAAAGCTTATTCGAAATTTGAAAAAGTCCAAAGATGATTTGGCAGAGTATCAAGTTCTCTTCAACATTGAGTGCATATGTATCTGAGTTCTAAGCTTTACTTTCATATTGATACATGGTGAACTAAATGGTTAGTAAATATGTTTAATTGTATCATGTAAATTAGTCACAATAACTAGAGATGATAAATGAGGGTGGAAATATATGCTCGATAGTGGTAGAGCAATGCATAAGTGGCAGGAGGTAAAGTCATTAATGGAGAGTTTTTGTTATCTGTCTTTTTGTGATAATGCTGTTACTTTGTTTTTTATGGTATTTATGTTATGTTATGGATTTTATGATACTTTATGTTGTTTTATTATGAGTCTATTGATAGTACTAATATAGTGTCTCTTGTTGCCTCTTTGAGCCGAGGGTCTCCTGGAAACAACCTCTCTGCCCCTCGGGGTAGAGGTAAGGTCTGCGTACATATTACCCTCCCCAGACCCCACTTGTGGGATTACACTGAGTTGTTGTTGTTGTTGTTGTTGTTGTTGTCTTTTTGTGATAAGCTGAGAAAGGATTCCATGCAGCAATTTTTTATATTGGCTTAGTTCTATCTTGGTATTATGTTATTATTAATAAATTAACTTTACTTATCAATTGTCTTTTTTTGGTAATTATGATCATCCTCCATGTGTGATGAGATTCAATCTCGTTTTGGTCTTCCATTAGATAACTTTTTCTGCTAACATCAGTAAATATGTGGTAGCTACATCTGCCTACTAGACTGCAATTAATAAGATTGATGTATTTGATTAGTTGTGATGTAGTGTATTGGATAATATTTATGTTGAAGGTTTTCAGGAAGCTTTCTTCTGATTAACATCCCTTTAATTGTTAAGATCATGATAATAGACTTTGTCTGCAGATCATAGCATGCACAATACATTTACTATGCTGGTGCAATTTGACGGGCTTATCTGGTGCAGTATGGCTCCTTTGCCTTGTGCGTAAGAGCTGTTGATCTGGAGAAATTTAGCCTATCATTTTGGTACACAAATAGATCTTCAAGCTGATGTATGTTGTGAAATTTCTGTGCTGCACTTTGAGTTGTGTAGCTGGTGCAAGAACAAGTCTTCAACTAGTGTATTTAGGCTCTTATGTACTGGTAGATTTAGGCTAGTGCAAGAATGCTTTATTTTATAACCGATCAGGGTAGATTGAAGTCTTTGGGAAGTCTGTTGAATGAAGACTTTCATTATGAGCAAGGAATGAAGAGATACTTGTTAAATATGAAATGATATTGAATTCAAATGATTTTTTCATCTTCTGTTGCACTTTAAAACTATGAAATAGAAATTTTATTTGTTGTGAATTTTATGACGTACATTATTCTTTCTAAAATGGATGTGGTATTTGTATATTCTATTACAAACTTTTGTATACAATGAAAATTTGCCAACTACAATAAAAATCATTACGGACATAATAACTGCCAATATAGCAGTAGTTTTAGTTGCCATTACATTTGCCGCTAATAGAGTTACTCTTTACTAGTAGTTAATGGTCTTTAGCGGCAATAACAAATGTTGTTGAATGAATGAGCTACCACATTGTCTATGCAAATTTAGTTGCTATTGTAATTGTCGGTAAACAATTGCTACTAAAAGCAATGGCTGCTTTTAGTGGCAATAATTGGTGTATTTACCGGCACTTTGTCTAATTGTCGTTAAAACCTTTAGCGACCCTAGATTCAACGGCAAATAATAAATTGCTGGTAAAGGTTTTTGCGGCTATTTTTATTGTCGCTAAATGAGAAATGTATTGCCGCTAAAGACCATTTTTGTTGTAGATATAGTCTTCGTTTCAAACAAAGAGAACTTGTGAGTTCAAACATGGTAGTTGGTTTGTGGCCTTGACTTTGAGGGCGATTGCTCCTTCACTTCCTATGATAACTTTGATTTCAACTTGAAAGACCTTGCTTGTTTATTGACTAACCACTTTCTCTGTCACCCTTATCACAGAAAATACCTCTAATCCGCTCAAACCCAATACCATCTATCTGTTGCATTGTGCTCATGAATTGACATATACTGAACCTTTGTTTTTCACATGAATCCCAAAGCACGTCAATTGCCACCCACTCAGTGCGCATACTGTTTTTTCCTAATTTATGCCGCTTTGATGTGCTAGCCAGATTCCGTTTTGTGCAATTGGAAGGCCGGTAGCAAATTTTGAAGTCATTTCTCATTTGATCTGACCAAACAGACTCAAGAAGAGAGAGCAAACAAAACAAAGGGAACAAATTAAGGGACAATGGAAAGAGATGATACCTAACAAGAAAATTACAAAGTAGAAACTTATCAGATGTGGATACCAACTCTAATGACCATGACATGCGCTTTTGGATTAAGTGGCGTAATCTATCAAACAAGTCTAATGTTCAACTCTTGTTGTACTTCTGAGTCGTGAAACTGAGCTTCAATGCTCCGATTATCCTATCTGATTCATGGTCCTTATTCGACTTGTAGCGCCCGAAAGGTTTTCACCATCAAGCCTCTCTCATTTTGTTTTTTCTCTCAACTTACTGTCGCCTTATGGTGTCTGTGAATGTTTTCACCGATAAGACTCTCTCATTTTGTTCTTTTCTTTTATTCCCTCTGACTCTGTAGATGACAAGGCATTGACCATAGTAAAAACATCATATGCTCCTGGCATGGCTAACTCAGAACTCTCAAAGATTATCTGGGAGGTCTTTTTTGGACTGTAATGTGGCTTTTGCACAGGGTTAGAAAGAAAGGATATCATAAAGGCTCAAAATAACTAAGATAACAGGTTTAATTTATTTACAACTTTTGGAATCCATTCTAAAACTTTGCCCCAATTTCTAAAACAAGGGAATTTGATTCTTTTTTTTTTCTTTTTCTTTTTGAGATGGAGTTTCTAAGAAAGACTGTCCCACTCTCAACTTCGTGGGATTATGAAATATTTTATTTGGTATGACTGAACCTTAAGGCTGCCTAAGTATCTTGTGGTGACAAGAATCAGGTCGAACGTAGTTCAAAAGAATACTTTTCGTTACTATTTTTTTTTCTTTTTCCTTTTTTTTTCCTTTATCTCTATTTTTCTTTTTTTCTTTTTCTTTGAATTTTTCTTTTGGAATAAACTTTCATAAACAAACCTATGGGGACATGAACCTTTTTTTTAGTATGACTCTAACTTGATTCCAAAAGAGGGGAGGTCAAAAAAATCAACACAGACTCAAAGGGTATCCAAGAGTATAAAGTGTTTGGGTAGCTGAAAGAGGGCCTCCTAATCCCTGAAAATACTAAGTACAATATATGCAACTTGAGGATAAAAATTGAAGATCATGCACAATATTTCTTTTGTAGTTCCGGCATTAATATCACTGATGTGCCTTCCACTTTTTTTAGTGCCTTGTCAAGTACAGAACTCTTGTTGGGTAATTTCTTCTTCACACCGGATGTCCTCCGCCAGTTTGGAGCAAAGGCTTTTGGCTTTATCTTGTAACTTGAGATGCCCTTGAACTGAAAGTTGCTCACTTCAAATTGTCCGGGATGCACTCTCCTTTAATGAATTATTGTCACCCTATCAACTTCCCAAATTATCTGCCCCACTTTCTCACATTTCGGGCTTTAAATGATCTCACAATGTCCAAATATGTACTTATTTCCCTCAAACATCCCTATCATCTTCACAATTATTTCATTGCTTCGTAATTAGACTAACATTTAAGACCAGGCCTAGAATTATGCGTGCATGTCATGTCACTAGATCCAGCATAAAAAAACTATAAAAGGAAAAGGAAACTAAACAAGAACTAACTAGAAATAATAGAAAATAGGAAATTGCATTAGACATACGGTGAAAGGGTTTGAACAACAAAACAAGCAAAAATAAGTTGGGGTTACAACCCTGGAACAAACCTAGATAACACTAAACGAGTTACTACGACTAAACGAACTAGGCAAAATAAAAGGATAGAAGGGTTTGAATCACAAGACAATATCTGGATTACAACCCTGATATAACCCAGACAACAGAAATGACAACAAAATAAACCACCAAAACTCCTCCCTGACTAACCAAGAAAATAGTGTCTTTCCAATTATCAAGCTCGACATCATAGCTACTGAGTCGCACATCGACGTTACTAGAACCTTCACAAGTCTCCATCATGTTGACCTTAGCAAATAGCTTTTGGGTCCCTTTTTCCAACTCGCTCTTAAGATCAACTTCCGGAATCGAGACTGATACTGCTGAAAGCTTTGCGGAAAATGGCCCCCTAAGGAACTCAGAAGAGTTCTCGTATTCCTTTTCAACAAAAATTATACCCACCATGTGCCTCTCATTATGAACAGGCAATGGACTTTGGCTAGTGTCTAATGCATCTTGATTTTGCACGACAATGTCACCTGCATCAACAAGCTTCTGGACTGCTCTTTTCAGATTTTAATACTTTTCTATGATGTGCCTCGGGGGATTTGAGCAATATGCGCACCTCTAAGAATAATCAAAATTCTCTGGAAGGGGGTTCCACATTTTTATCTGAATCTGCTTCAACATGCCCAATTGCTTCAATTATTGGAACAAACTGGCATATGATTCTCCAATAGGAGTGAAAGGCTTTTCTCTTTGTTGCTGCCTTTTCATTTTGTACTCCGGCCTCAACTGGAACCTCTTGCGGGCAGGTGGTTGATATGCTTGTAAAGGTGGGTAATACATTTGTGGAGATGATGCAAACCATTACGGGTCTTGTGGATGTGAAGTATATGGCGGTGCATTGTGGATGGAGTACTGGGAAAGTGAGGTATGAATTTGGGGATTTTATGGAGAGAAGTAACATTGGGGAGGATTATATGGAGTATGAGGATATTCATGGGGTCGATATTTAGGCTGAAAACGTTGAGCAGGAACGCCCACTGGATCTTGTCATCGGCGGGGTTCAACGACATCTTTTCTATTTCTCTTTCTTCACCCCAAATTACTGAGATGTTCTGGATTTCTTCTGTAGTATCTTTCAATGCAGAATAACTCATTATTTTGCCTAACTTGATTCTTTCTTCTACCATCTCCCCCATCTTTACCACATCATTGAAAGGTTTACCTAAAGCCGGGATCAAATAACTGAAGTAGGTGGCCCCCTGGGCTTGTAGGAAAAGCTCAACCATTTCTTCTTCACCAATCGGGGAACTGACTCGAGCAACTTGTTCCCTCCATCTGAGTCCAAACCCCTTAAAACTTTTCTCGGGTTTCTTTTCCAACTTAGATAAGGAAGAGCGGTCTGGGATAATGTCTAGATTGTACTGAAAGTGTCGAACAAAATCTTGAGCCATGTCATCCCATGCATTCCACTTGTTGACATCTTGATGAGTATACCATTCCAAGGCTGCCCCACTCAAACTTTCATTGAAATACGCCATAAACAAATCATCTTTCCCGCCATCACTTCTCATTTCACTACAATAACCCCTCAGATGGGCTATTGGATCTCCACACCCATCATACAAGTTTAACTTTGGCATTTTAAATCCTGCAGACAGATGAATATCAGGGAACATACACAAGTCATTGTAAGACATGTTAATCTGATTTCCCATCCCTTGCATGTTCTTTAAGGATTGTTCTATACCTTTCAGCTTCCCGAATACCTCATCTCACCCTTCCTTTCCTATGAATTTTTCATTTTCAACATAAGGCTCATTCCGAAAGCTATGATAGTATGAGTCAGGGACCTTGTGGGCAACCTCTAAGGGGTAATATTGGGCGTCATGAGTTTTGAGTGGGTGTTCATTGTTGGATCTATGAAGGAAAGATTGTTGAGAAGTTGTGATCGTGGGGATAGTGGATATGATAGGAGGGCAATTTTTGGGAAAGACAGTTGGAGAACGAGTGAGAGAGCTACTAGGGTGGTTGGGAAAGCTGTGATAAACTGGAGAATCTGGAGAGTATGGGGGATCATCTGGAACTATGACCGGAGTTTGGGTAAGGGTAGCATCTAGGAAGCTAGGTGGTGGCGGGAGTGATGCCTTCCCAGTCATCTAAACTCGACATATATCTGCCATGTATTGTCTTAACATCCTTACCTCTTCAACAAACCCATTGTCATGTTCAAACAATTGCTTTTGGGAACCAGTATCAACCAACTCAATTCTATTTCCATCTGCCTTTGCCTTTCAACTTTATGTTGTAGAGAAGACTTACCACTTTAAGAACCACAAACCAACCACCCTTCTGCTTTATGAAGATAACAAAGAGGAACAAAATGAAGTCATCACGTTAGCGTTAGAGCATTTAACATAAG